ATAAATTGAAAGCAATCGGAACAATTCAGCCACGCATAATATCATAATGGATTGATGCATCAAAATTGAAATGCATCAAAATCGGTGCTATTCATCCTCAAACCGTTCGTTACGATCACTTTAGATCATGCATGATTATAATGTAAGGATGAGTGATATATGACAATATAGCATTGTATCTCATTCAATTGCTTCATTATTCCGTCAAACACCATTAAATGTTATTGAATCAGACCAGCAATCATCGTATACCTCAATAATGAGCTATTTGGGGTAAATGAACCAAAAATAAAAACATAAAGAGATTCAACCTTCAAACAAGAGCAACATTTCCGCATAACTGGATATAAAGCGTTGCGTGCTGGACCGTAAAAAGAATGAAATAATTGTTTCGATGTAATGCGGCTATGTTAAACTAATTATATTCATCGCAATTTAATTAAAGTGGAATGAATTGCAGATAATGAGATTAAATCTGGAGATTTTTTGAAACAGACATCAACTTCGGACGGATGATTAGAGTTCGTGTGCAATTGTGGTTATGCTCTAAAGACGTCCAAAAGTCATTTCTTCCAGATACTATAAGATGACCTGTTACTGTAATAAATCGGAGCATTTTCACTCCCTCAATCACTACGCAAATACTTTCCCTAACCCTCCTTCACCAATATTCAACGAGCACACTGAGATGAATCTTATAGATGTTATAACCAATGTAATAGCACTGAAGTTTCGCTAAACTGTTTGAATGTAACCTTTAATGTGTTAACCTGAGGGAAGCTATACAACTGCTAACAGTGTACAATGAAATAACGAAATGATGAAGCTTATTTGCGAACAGATGTTTAATCGTTCATCATAAAATTATTATTATTATGACTATTAATGTTGCTATTGTTAATAAATATTATAATCGTTAATCGACTCGTCAAACTCATTTGAATGTCGAACAATGATCGCACTTCCTCATAAACGAAATCGACGGCACATTCAAAGTATTTCCGAAGACATTTGAGAAATTGATGTGAGAGACATGCTATTGGCATGATATGGAACTGTCATTTTAGTGATTGATTTGATGAATGGGTGCAATCAGTGGACAGTTGTTGAATTCAGTGTAAACAAACCATATTAATAAACAAAGATCACGACAAACGAATTGAGCTTTTGACCATATGCGCATACTAAAATAGAGCACTTCCTCTGATCATATTCAACTGATCGTGAAATACATACTTCCGTTTCGTGCAGCCTTTGGCACATTTCGACTTCGGAACTTAATTCAAAAGAGCTTACAGCAACTGGAACTCATGTCTTAAGTTACGTCAACCAGCAGACTAGTGCATAAAATGACGATGAGTAATGAAGCATTAGTTTATGCCCCAACATAAAATGAGGCGCTCAGGCCATCACACACTTTGATTTGATGCTCAAAAAACTTTGCAATATGATTTTTGTCGTTATGTCCTGGTGAATATGCTATTTCCTTCATTTTTCAACATCACCTTCAACAAGTGATCGCCTCAAGTTCAATTTCATTTCAGGGCAATTCAACTTTCCCAGCTATGGTAGCGGAAACTTCACTATGTTGACGGTCAGATGAGCAAACAATGGATGAATTAAAACCGAATCAAAAATCCAACAACGTGAAGATTAGGAAAGGAAACTTGAATCGTGGAATTTCGGATGAAATGCGAGAACTTGGTAATGAATTAAAAAGATCGATTAATGGCGATAAATGTAAAGCATTAATTCGAGTAATGATAATATGTTGACGATACTGAATTGATTGGTTCCCATGTGATTTAAAGGAGTAGATTAAAGAACGAAATTGTATGTTTCATGGAGATAATTAACGTAATTCGATGAAATTTATTGATAATCGATGATAATTATAGTCTATAGATGTAAGATAATGGTCATCTATTGAAACGATGAATCGACCGCTGATATCCTCAAATATCGCTTCCCCATAAGTGTTGTTGAAATAGGCATAAAAGAAAACCGCCAGCATATAATGAATGCGTGATGAAGATAAGCATAAAGTGAATTTTAAAAGTGTGATTTATCATTGCCCCAATCAATCATTTCTGAGATATCTATATATATTTATGTAAGAAACAGTCTTATTGTTGAACTACGTGCCAATTGCAAATTGACTTCATTTGTTTGGTTTTATGAAGACAACTGAAAAAAATAAAACAAAACCGGAATATAGAGTACAATGAATTGTGGCATCGATGTCAGACATCTTTGCAGAATGATGTTGTTGTGTTGTGTTGTTATCATTATCATTAGCACTATTAATTTGTAGTAAACAGATCAGGAGATAAGTTTCTCTTCAAAGAAATGAGGTAAATAACCTTTGTGAGCGAAACAGCACGTGCCGAACAAACGCTACCAAACGCAGAGCTCGTTATTTCATTATTTGCAAAATCCTCTCGCGTAAAAAATACAACGCCATCTTTTGCTGAAATGATTGTTTTAGTGACCATAATAATAAGTATAATAGAGTTGAGCATATTTGTGACAAGGATATTGATTATGCCACAATAAAAGAGATTANNTACTAAAAAAACTGAAATTATTGCGGAATATAAAATTTGAATAGTCATAAATGTATCCACACATGAAACAACTGAAATGGAAACAATTCGAGTGATGAGTCAATTAACCGATGTGATAAATGTGTCCAGTGACGTATTCGATCACTCCACTCAACGTCCGTTCGATAACTTGATAAACGTCAATTCGTTGGGCATCAATCCACTCCTCAGAATAAACCACCGATAAGCGAACATTCAAATCGCGATTGAACATCTTCAATAGTTTATTATTTCACAATCGATCATTCGACTGATCAAAATAAAGCTTTAAATAAAATTCCATTGCACAACGCTATTCAGTTCCGTATTTCAACACCACTTTAAAATCCATCATTTTACGGACTCACACATAGATGCGTTTTGATAATAGCGATGAACTTCATTCATAATCAATAATCCAATGCTAATGCCATTTTTAGTAAAACTCTAATTAGTAAACCTCTATGTAAGTTAACAATTTTTTGCTGGTGAAAATATCACCGCGAATAATCGTTAGTATTAAATACTTGAAATGATTGTGAAGAAGGATTAATCAAATCGGCAGCGCTGACTGCGAGTTTCCTAGAAGGTCGGTGACAAAAATTCATAAATTTCTATTCAATATTAGCTGCTTGGTAAGCTGTATATTTCAGAATGGGAAATAAGACGGAATTCTGGAAGTGTATTGTACTGTAAAAGGATGTGACACTAGGAAATTTGGAAAGAGTATAATGGCAATAAAAATTAACGAGCGATTTGATAATAGCGCTGAACTTCATTCATAATCACTACCCAACGAAACATTTCAGATGCATCTTTTGCGGCTTCAACCATCATCAGTCACGCATCATTAAATGTGCTTGTTTTACGAGTTCAGTTGCCATGTTACGCAATAGACAAACACAAGTTAGTCATTCGTATATCGAAAATGAGGCGTTTTTATTCATTGGCTTAGATTTGACTTTGCTTCATCACTATTCTTATCCAGCGCACTTCAAAACACTGTCGTAAACGCTAGAAATTGTTGCGAAGGAACTACGAAAAAAGACACGATGGGCAGAACTCTTGAAAATTGAATATTATGCAACCAATAATGCTCTGAACAATTGGACAAATGATGTAAGCATTTTGTTCCTTCTGTGTAACTGCTTTGAAAAATACAATATTATAGTGAAGCTGAGAAAGCCCCTTTGAAATGATCAATACAATCTGAAGCACAGAGAAGTCTGGATTAATTCGAACAAATGACATTGTGTTATATTGTTAAGTTCGTTAAAAGCCACCAGCAGATGAAGCAGTAAATGATGAGAACAATCAATCCGATGCTAATGCCATATATGGAATAATTCCCGAGTGTATCGTTCATTCACTGATGATTTTATTCATTAAAATACATCATATTATAAACAGTTTGTGTGTGTGTATTTAAATATCATACGTATAAACATATAATATGTACTGAACTAATGAACAACTGCTCTTATAAATTTCGAAATGTGTCATGCGAATTCGTCCAAACTTATGCAAATAAATCTCTCGATAAAGAATGCGTTCCCATCATATGTGCGTGTATTTGATGTTTATTGCACGGGTTGATGTTTATTGGGCATAAGATAGAGATGCGATGCGTTAAGATGCGAGATGCTTTTGCGGAAAGACGGTGTGGCGTGTCTTCGTGAGAAGAAACTCTTGAAGAACAAAATTCTCAACGGAGCAATAATTCCGCTTGAACCAAAAGCACATTATCGGTCTGAGAGGTGCTTCACTTCGAAACGACCTCCATAAGTGAATATTCTCTTAGAATGTGACAGTGACATTACATCAATCTCTTAAATCGCATTACTCCTCTATACGCATACCACAGCCACGACCACTACTACTACCACCATTCACCAGATAATTCCCTCATCAATCAAATGCAATCTATTGCGAAACAACAAATTCAATTTTGTTTTTGAACTTTAAATCTCACAATCACTCGAATGATAATGCCGTTGATAGGACAGAATGAAAACGTACAAAATCAGCGATGTTGATTGCCTCAAGCATGTATTCAATACCGACGTCTTCGATCAGATCGTGCATCTTCATCTGAATTGCATCAACTTTGAAACAAACAATATTCATGTACATGCTCTGCAATCATTCAAACAATTCCTGACCAGGAATAAATCTGAACTGAAAACTTACGAATGAATGATCACCAATTATTGCTAATTCAACGTATTTGGTTTGTCGTGTCACGTCCCGTTTCATCGGAGCCTATAAATGTTTTACTCGATGCATTCATGAGGCTATAACTCAGTTTTGAATCACACGCTGATCGTTTATTCATGTGCAATGAATAATAGTAGTGGATATATAGGATTGCAAATTAATGAATGAGTAGAATGATAGAAGAATTGAAATATGCATTTGTGTACGTCAATGATTCATCGTCAACGAAATTTTGTGAGATAAGAGCAGAGTTGACGTGAATGTGACGTCTCCTTATCATTTGTGACAATCAAATAGACTTGGCTGCATAAGATATGTTCAGCACGAGATGCATCTATTATCGTGTAGACAGCATCGATAGACAAATGTATCAGGCATGACAAATTGACCATTCAAATGTCGATTCAATTCAGCAAAAATCTTCCCGTATCTCGATTGCGAGTTCTTCCGTTCATTGGAAATCTTTTGGTCTAACGCATGCAATTTCAACGGTACTCCAAATTACAGTGAAGTATTTGCAGTATTTGTTCCCATTCGAAAACACTGACAGCGAAAGCCAAGTCTTTGGAAACAAGACATGAGTCTATGAACATTTAAAGAGAATGTCATGTTATAAATCGATAAGAATGCGCATTTTGGCTGATAATGTAATGCGATAATTTCTAACATAAATGATTCGTTTAGAATGGGAATATATTGAGAGATTTGCAGGAAAAGCTCTTGACGTAAATTGAAAATGATCTATTATAGTGAAAGAACTGAGAACTGGAATTTGCAGGGAACCTTTCGAGAGTGTCTTGTTTCAAGCGTAGATTGAGTATTGCACAAAGCATCAATTGACCATTTGATACGGTAAAGGACATGTGGATGTCTACGTCCACGATCACCCCCATCCAATGGCCACAAACCAAACGATGTACCGTTGCTGAAGGCGATGATTCCACTGGAAGAGAAGCACTTGTTGAACTTTTGCTGCACGTAGCATTATTGTAAATATTATGAGTCATAACGGAAGTTACTTAAGTGAATACAGTAACTACAAATATCGTATCTGAAAATGAGTTCGAACAACTGAATTCAGAAAAACTTTGAAACGATCGAATCAACGAAACCGAAATATCCGTACCGCAGTCCATTACACGTCGATAACGCTACAAACGAAGACTCTTCACCGTTCACCGTCCCTTGATAATAACAATTTTCAATCCGTTTCGATACTGAACTTTCACCGCGACTATCCAGCTTAAACCACAACAGCAGTCAATATTTATATCATTTTAATTGTACAGTAATGTTATCAACTGGTGATTATCTTCATTATTAATACCGGCATTAGCATTACTAGTTTATTGTTTGAGATTGCGATCAATATCAATGCTATCATTATCACGGTTGAAACATTCATCGATTGGAAACCACCGATGAAATGGACCAAAATTGAACGAGGTGAAAACTGATAAAATCAAAATCATGAGAGCGATGTTTGGAACGAGCGATTTACTCGTATGATCCAATAAAGATCTCATTCCACTGGTCTGTTTTTGTGAACGCGAAGTTTTATTCATGAATATTTCCTGAATTCAGCAACGCTTGGAAAACAACAACAGTGACGAAGATGGGTAATTGCAATCGCAAGGAAAATAGGCTAAAACACGTTGTTTCAGTGCAAAAAACCAACTTTCATGAACTCGGTTCCATTTACAAAAATAAGTTCGTTGAGCGACAGTAACAACTTAAGACGACCAATAACATTACTGCGAATCACAATTGTTACTTGTTTATAATGCACCGTGCCGTTGAGAAAATAATTTCTGAAATTCGGTATACTCAAAATCATTAAAAAGCAAATGATACACAATATAGGTTTCAATGAAGTTGTTGTTTGGATTTATTTAAGAAATTACATCCATTTTTATTGCCATGGAATATATGATGAAACTGAGAGAGTTGATAAGTGATCATTATCTAAACACTTCGTTGATGCCATTGAATGAGCCATGAATATTCGAAGGAAAAGGCCAATAACTTCGATAAGATGCATAATTCAGGAATTGCATCGATAAATCCATGTTGATATTATCCCTTTTGAATAGATCACAAAGAATGGCAATGTGAACGATGCAATGATCGGAGGTAATTAATTAGATAGATTTGTGCAATCGATGTGTTGACAACAATACTCTCTTCGATTGGGTGCTTTTCAATGAAAGTTATTTCTTTTGAAGTAAGCGCCAATCATATCATTCTCTTTTGATGTGACCGCCTAATATGACACAATTCATAAACTTTCGTCGGTGTGTATCGATGAAGCGATTTTTGAATTCTTCTTGAATTCAGCAAAAAATAACACAAATGTACGCGTTTGGTTACACCAAAATGCAATAATGCCACAAGTTGAACGGTAAACACGAGTTTTTTGCGAGATTCATGTTTCACATTCTTGTACTTGAGTTGGAGGAAAATGTTCAGAATTGACACTGTTTGGAATGAGTGACTTCGGGAAATTATGCTAAATCAATCCAAAATTGGTGCACAAGGAGTGCTGAGTTTTGGAACAAATAATTATGAACGGTGTCGATGATAGATTGTTCTTGAACTGTTTAAATGATGCCAACTTTAATGGCTTCATAGCATTTTACCTACCTCGTATCAATTCCGATTCGTTCGTTTTTATCTCTGACTTGAAACGGATGTACCACTTCAAATTGACCTTCATCCAGACGACTTATGAACTCTTTGTTCGTCGATAAATGCCGAATCTCACCTTAAATTTGAATTTAAGTTTATGAATGATGGTTTCGGCAGTGAAAATTGTTCCATTGGTTTTGAATTGTTTGCTGTGTGTGCTAATAGATAAATGCAAGCAAAACGCTGATTTTGTTTTGCATTGCAAGAACAATCATCAATTTGCACGAACAATAGGTGATGCTGCTCAAATTGCGTTCGCGTTGAGTGACACAAATTTAATTAACGAAATCATATTAGCACTATCAATGAGACGCTCAGATTGGCTTAGATAAGTGAAAGAGGACACATTCTGAGTGTATACGAAGTGCTGTTTTGAAATGTGGTGATTGTTTTGGGTGATATTTTGCATGTCTTTCAATGTCTTTCATGTCGATGTCTTTGTCTTTCAATAATGAAACGATGTCTTTCAATAATTTTGATAGCAATAATAATGATAATAATAACAACTTCAATTTCACATTTATTATGACTGCTCTCATTACTTTCAAGATTTCCATATTGTTCATTATTGAAAACAAAACAACGATGAAGTGCTGATTGGTGAAATGAGATAGGATAAATAAATATTTGCGGATATTCGATATCCATCGTCAGTAAACACGAACGAATGAAATGCGTGTTGGATATTTAATTGATGTATACAAAATGTTCCGCTTCATATTCTTGACCAATGCATTTTATTGTTGTACTACTATCGTATGATATTATGTCATGCATGAAATTCACTTCAGCACAATTTGACTATTGTTGCCTATTGTTAGCAATTAACTGGGCAGTTGAATTCCAATATCCGGAATAGAGATTGCTAATTTTTATGGAAATAAACGCGATTTTTTCGTTTTCTTCGAATCTTGTAGAAAACTTCTCAAATGGAGTTGTGAGATTCGCAACTGCGTCAAAACAATATCATATGTCATGCTGTGGCCAATTATTATACAAAGGGAAATACACTAAGCTACATAAATAGCAAAATCAGAATACAATGCAACATGCATTCCCAAACAATCGTGCTTGTTTTCGTACCTTTAAGAGCGAAAGCCCTCGGCAGAGCGAAAATGCTGAACGAAATGATAACCGCTGTAAACATCGATAAACTGAACGGCATGGCACTTATGATGAAAATGAAAGAGCCGTGAATATGACGCAGTGAATTGGAATAGAAATATTAGAGTTGAATATTGAAAAATGATCAGATGAATAATTCAGTGTGAATAATAATCCGTAGAGTCGAAACTGAATAACTGATTCGAATGAATCCAAGTCAAAACTAAAATAGTGATGATGGAACAACACAGTTTGCGATGTATTGTCGTTGCTGTTGTTGCTTCTGCTCTTGAGCAATAAACATCTGAACAATATTATTCCATTTGGATATCGACGAAATTATTGCGAAATTGAAACTCTAAAAATGACTCTGAATCGACTGCAGACGTCTAATAACGAAACGAACACTCGATTGACATCCATCACAAAAACCATTATGAGTCATTCAGTGAAATGCTAACGACAAATCAAGCCAACATATAGCGCATTATAAAATCCTTTCAACGCAGCCACAAACATTTACAAATATGCATTCACAGAAACTTAACGCGACACGAAAACCATCTAATACATCCTAAACGAACACTTTTTCGATGGAATTTCATCACGTAAATTTGACTCGACTAAAATGCATTGTAGCGATGCTAACAATATTTTTTTAAAGGCTGGAACGAGTGAACTTTGTATCCGTTCAAATTCAATCCTAAATTATATCGGCACCAAGCTAAACTCCAGCAAACCGTTATCACAGTGACAGATGGAATGATTTTATGATCAGGCAGATTGAAACTGACGGCATATGTTGGTCATGGTTCAAACAAAAACTATCTTATTCAGAGATCTGAAATGGATGAATCTATCATTGTGGGTAAATTTTTGAACGTCTTGAATTTATCAATATAGCATTCATCAGTCACTCTTCAACATCAAGCAATTAATCCGTTTGCGATTCACACACTTGGAGGAGCATTTAATCATTTGAACAAACAAGACAATGACAAGCGCACAGATGAGGAAATTTCGAGTATTTTCGCAAATATTATAATATTCTTTCAATAAATCTGAATTTTTTTCGTTCAGTCTCATTTTTGTTTCATACGATCACATCTGAACACGACTGTGAATAGCACAGTCTGATAAAGGAAATGAAGTAAAATCGAGAACTGTACTAAACGCGAAAACCAACATATTACAATAAGAAATGTGATGAGAGCTGACAGATAGTTTCGGAAAGTTTTGGAAAATAAAACACACAAATGTCGTTTTCGATAAATGCGCTCCGAAGTGAATGACCAGCCCGAATCATTCACCATCAATCAGTAATAACTCAAAACGCCTCCTCTAACAAAGATCATAAAGGACAGGTGTTAGTTGAACGCTATTCCACTCGCCAAAAGGTCATCGCTTGAATAAAGCAAACATTATACCACCACTAGCAATCATCATTTCTACACAACCATTTTAGCATTACCACATACACGATCCAATCATTGATTCTTTACTATCAAATGAATTCACAAAAGACGCAATCGTGCATGTGAATGAGGATTTTTAAACCCTTAATTATAAAATAATGATAACATTAATTTACGAGTACTGCTAATGCTACAATTTATATAAGGGTTCGTACGGAGCGATCAGTATTTTCTGCGGGCCAAACTACAGCTCGAATTTTTGAATTTACTCAACTCAATTTACACATTATTTTAATTAAAAAGACAACACTGTATCAAAGAATTAAAAACGACATAAACCAGACGAGGCAGAAGAAAGAGTATTGATACTACACAATGAAATGTTCAATAATTTACGAATGGACATCGAAGACGTTTTCCTGGAAATGGATCGAGATAGTTCAAACTTATTTGCTTGCTTGACCGCTAGTCTATTTCCAGATGAACAAACAAATTGCTCAAACGCATCTAATAATCATCGCATTTGACAGTTTACGTTTCACTGAATTCATCCTTTCACTAAAATTTATTCTAATGTTATATGAGCTGTCATTAAATATTATATGTGTGCAAAGGTAGCTATAATATCATGTTGTCAGTAAGCATTTAACGAATTATTCATCAAAGCTTAAATTAATGAATAACCAATTGAATGGCTTGCGCGTAACCAAACAAATTTAAGGCTGTCTCGTTTTTTTTCTATATTGTAAAATCATATATAAATGTAATTCTGAATGAATGATAAGATTGAGGATCGAACTGTTTAGCAGATATATCGATGAATGAATAAGTAATCATGCAATTGCTCGAGTTTGATCTTTTCTCAACGAAACTGTTTCCGCTGATTAATCACATTGAATTGTGTTACTGATCACAAAAACACGTTGGAAAAGTTTACATGATTCCTTTCATAATTTATAAAATAATATGTTTACAGGAACCGCTACATTAACTCGTATCATAACATTCACTGAAGCATATATCAATGTTGAGTGGGTCAACGAAAGATACCCAATGAAATCTACTTTTCATATAAACGAACATCATTGATAAGAAAATGAACATTACGTTGAGTGATAACATAACATTCAAAACAGTTCAAAATTTACGGATCAATGCGGAAGTAATAATAAACAATTGATATGCATCATAATACTAAGCATTTGAGCGTTTTAACTCGAGGATCGGATTTGAAATTTGTTGTAAGATTTGATGACAATACAAATAATGCATGCAAAGAGATAAAGAGGGGATATGTGTATAAGGCAAGCACATCGATGTATTCATCCGTCCTCCTTGGAGGGTAAACCAGATGTTCGATCATTGTCTGTATATGTATGCAAAAGTGGTTAGTGAAATAGATGAATAGTAAGAAAGGGATATGTTCAATCGGATTTGATCGATCAGTTATGCTATTCAATCAATTCGGCGTCACATTTATCATATAACCTTTCTGAATCTGTATGAAAAGTTTATTTCCACTCAGCAATGAACTCGTTTATGGAACAAGACGGTATTTCGTTTATAAAACGAAACTCTGAGTCGGATCATACTTCTCCTTAAATCACACTGATTTATTGCTCATACTGGCTGTTGTCAATCGCTAACAAAGCCAATGTTAGATCTTTTAGCAAATGGTTGAATTAGATCAGTGAATTTAAATTCGGTTTTACAACGCGCAATGTAGGTCTTGTAATGCTATTATCCAGGAATAGCGTTAAGCTTGTCTGAACACTTATAAAACTATCCAGAATTCCGTCGAAAAGGAATTTCGAAGACAGAAAAAATTCTTTAAAGATCTGTGGAATAAAAACAGTGTGATTAAGAAATAACACCAATGAGAAGTTTCAAGTCTATAATTAATAAGAAAACGGAGAAGAGAATTACTGCAGCATTGAAGCGTTTATCAACAAAATTACTTTCAATCCCCAAATGATTTTTAATGTGAAATGCGTTGGTTTGCTAATTTACGCATAAACGAATTCAAAATAGTATTTAATAGACACAATTGAATACTCTTACTAGCTGAAAATCGAATTTGCTTATGTAAAATCGTAACTTCTCAACTGATCATTCCACGTAGCGAGTATTTACCTATCATTCGTTCTGACAGAAAAATACAAGTTTTCCCACTTTTTCATCGCAAAAAAATTTCCAGTTGAATGATCGAATGAATCTAGTTTTCGAAGATGCTTATTGTAAGACTGTAATAAATGTTTGAATAGCTCTTTTTTGGCGTTTTACAACAATGACTGTAATTTCGATCGAGAAATTGCAGTGCAGTTGATTGAGACATTCTGACAGAAATTAACCATTCATCACTCGTACTTTTAGTGGACAGCATGTTGAGTTTATGGTACATCATAATACATTGCTGTATGCGACGCTTTATAATAAACACGTGTTAGTACATACTTGAATGGAAACACATTCGATGAAACTTCTTCACTATTGAGGAAAAAATTGTGAAAATGATACAAAACAAATCTTTTTGTGTTTTCGTATCAATGAGAATTCTCAAAAAATCTTGCTTTTGGTCGTTCTTGCTTACGAATAAGAACAAATAAACAGAAGTCGAAATGGTTTTTCCAATTCAAGTCGTAAACTGAAAATGAATGAAAGGATGAAGAATGGAAAGAAAAAGCATCAGGTATTAATGCAACGAACAACGGACGGACGCAAATTCGAAATGGAATAATGAATAAAAATTATGAATAGCACGGATATTCAATCAGTCGTCGCATATAAGATTGCAGTTGTTATCACGTTATGTTCTCATATCTTTCTTGAAACTGAATATGGGAATCATGTTGTCGTTTGTTCGTCAATGAATTGTGCACTTAACGTAGTATCTATGTACACTACATTTTAATATATTATCACACAAATTATACACTACTTAACGTTAGTATTTAGTTGGTCTTATAAAAAGTATAGCAGAAACCAACTGACATTGAATGAAGAAAATGAATGGTAGGATATGATAGCCGGCCGGCCGGCCAGGCAGCATTCAACAATCCTGCTGAAATCAACCAAAATGGGCGGCGGCGGCGTTGTGCTGTATTCATAGTCACTCCTCAAATGTACCTATAGTTCTCTTCAATTTCCTATCCCTTCATCATTTATTTCCTCCCTTTCTTATGACACTCTCCGATCCTCCTCCCATTGAGCACCTTCGAATAACCACCTCGTTTTGACATCCTATCCTTTGATGCGACACAAGTGACACGAACGAGTGAGTCAACCAACTTCGTTATGCGATCATACAACACCACTAACATCAAATGTTAATTAATATTCAGTTAGCGGTGAAAAAAAAACGGTCGCGAAAAAAGCAATTTTGTTCTATTAAAAATAAGATGCTGAGGAAAAGTAACGAAACCTCTCGCTAAAAGTGACGCTAGTCGGAAAAGACAAGCAGTAGCTTCGTCTAAAACGTCAATCATTGTCAGAAAAATTAGTCCGATACTCGCTACCTTCAAGTTTTCCTTCAAAATTTGCAATTGCACCATTGATTCGCTCTTAGAAAACCTCAAAATGCCATTAAACGTTTAATCACTGAGCAACAAAGAATCTTTCCAACCATAAGCACCAGCCAGTGATAAATGTAAAATTTAACAATGAGAAAATAAACAAAGGACAATAATAAAATATTGAGATGAAATAATAAACTACTGACAAAATCCCACACATTCTCATTCCCTTTCGAGAATATCAATACTCTGAGCATTTCGTCTAAGAGTTTGAAACGTTTGGTTCTTATTACTAAATCCTTTCCTAGCGAGAACAAAAATTAAGAAAAGTTCATTACACCATCACGTAACTTATCTAAAGTCGTATAAATTGGTGATCTCATACGAAATCCTGGTGATAAGCACTTATGGGAAGCATTTGAAGTGTGATTGAATATTCAACTTCGACTTGCTAAGAGAGCATGAGAGTATGATAAGTTCGAATTCAGCACTTGTTAGTGCGGAACGGAAACATTTAATTTAAATATTCTATTTTTAGGAAAAACAAGCATTCCTTTGCAGACGACAAATAACGAGTTAGCGGAAGTTTGACAAAAAGCGGCTCATTGAAATGAAAGAAATTACCGCAAGTTAGCACTATTTTGGGCGCTGAAGAATTTTTTTGGCGGATGTTATCGCTAATAATTTCCGGTCTATGAAAAAGATAATGAGCTATCACGCTGCTGAAAAAAGCAGCTCCTCTATTAGCAGATCAACGAATAACATGCTGTTACCCACCATTGCATTGAGCATAGCTGCTTCCATTCATCTATGATGTTTTGTAGTGTATTTAGCCGATACTGGGGCCACAACAACAGTTTTACGATCATTTTATGATTTGTGCACGCATGTTTCATGCGCTTGCATATCATCAAGTAGTGATTGTCAAAAACATTTGCTCAGGCCTAGACGAGATAAAGATACTCAGAAAGTATGATGAAGAAGAGTGTTGCAATGAGCGAATCATGTTCAGATCAAAATAACTGAAACAACTGCATGATATAACAACTGCGTTCCATCATGATGTAACAACTGTACAAGATATCATTTTGATGACCCCTTCAATTATGCCTTGACAATCACTCCCTGGGGTAATTTGGGGTTGTCAGGGAATATTTAAGTGGGTCGGCAAACTATTTTACACCCCCACCCCCCTCATGCGAACAACTGGACTAGACCGTCGGAATTGGTCGAGTTCAGGCTCATATGTCGGCCCCAGCTGCTGTTCATGAAATAGTGAAAGCATACTCATGATCAGCATCTTTGGGCCTTTTAAAATAGTTTTCGGCTCACATTATGTCTCTGAAACCATTGAGATCACTTTCACTATGGCATAATCAAGTAATTAGACTTCCATAGAGGTGCAGCCATCGCTTTACTTATGCAGTTAATTCACTTCAGTGAACTTTTTCTTTCCTTGAACGATATTAGGATTCTTGCTAGATTTGATACTCTCAATACCAGTTGCACAAATACATTTGTGGATTGTCATGAAATCATTCCGTGCTTCTAACAATTCAACGAACTTTTTTACAGGTGATGAATGAAATAGCTCAGATGGACATACTCCTTTTTTAAACGACCAATTCGGAAGGAGTTGAAAAACATTATCGGCGTGGTGAAATGCTTCAACAAGCGATTTCAACTTTGACATGCTTAGACGATATGACCAAAAATCATGTATTATCCAAGCAACTTTGGAGGAATGTGGTTCACAACAAAACAAGTATCCAGCAGGTCATTCATTTGACAGTGTGCTGATTGATCACCAAATGGTGCTGTTGAAACCGTACAGTTTCTTGAACGGTGAAACTCGACTGAATTTCTCGGATTTTTTAGACACTATAATTTTCTAAACACCTGTATCACAACAGCTTTGGGAATTCGTTTTCGTGTAATTCATTTGAATCCTAGTAATCTTCTGCGAAATCGTAACTGGTTTAGAATTTTCTCAAGTGTCACTGGTTTCGTTCACTATGAAAATTAAACTCTCGGATAGTTGGTTGGATGTATCGTTCAGCCCTGAAGAACGAGCTCAAGAATGGCATCAGGCGTTCCTCTTGTGGATGTGCGTTCATTATTGGCAAAATATGTACGGTACAATTTTGGCGTTTACATTCCGCATATCTTCATTTCGACAATGTTGATAAATGTTAAATTCGTTGAAAATTGATTGGTTCTGTTTTTACTCACACTTTGACAATAAGAGGGCAGTTCGACTATTATTTGCTTCGGCGGTGTTCACTCGGAGAGCAGTGTCTTCCACCGAGTTATCTTTAAGTCTCTGTCCGCTGTCCTTACATCACTTCCTTTCGTTTCCAAATGCCGAGCTTTGATTCTTGTTTTGCTTCTCAAAAATCGTTTTCCGTCACATACTTTCTGTGAATTCATCATTCGTTTTTGTACAGGTTTTGCGTAACACGAAAAGCGGACATGATCATTCGTTTCAAAAGATTCTGAGGATGAAACTTGATGAAAGTGATTCGTCATTGTTTACAGATGGCATCCTTAGTGCGTGCAGCAAGAACCCTGTGCAGAAACAGTCATAGCGTTCGTCAGATTGCTACAAGTGCGGTTCTTGCCGGTGGTCATGATGATATCATGGAGAAATGGCCTCCAGAAAGTAGGTCTTATCTGATTTCTGTCAGCCACTCAAATGATGAGATCTTCTTTTCAGTTCAAACGCCACTTCGTTACCTTTTTGTTTGTGAATTATTATTTTTGCTCTGAATGAGTTATTACGCGACACATCAAATTTTGGTGTTTATATTTTTGCTTTTAGTACGTCAGGTCGCATATTTAGCATATTTCAGTGCGTTATTTTCAGAATTCGACAAACATTTCATCGATTATTTCAATCGACCTGAGATCGATGGTTGGGAAGTGCGTAAAGGTTAGATCATATGATGTTTCTCTCTCACAATGTTTCTTTCCCACTTTTTTTATACAGCTCGTAATCTCACTCTGTTGTAAGATGCTCTTATCGTGCGTACATCAATGGATTGTTTTTTGCGAAAAAAATTCCAAATTGAAACCGTTTCAAATTTGCAGCGCTATCAGAATTACACGATTATGATGTAATCCCAGACCCTAAAGTGGTTGAAGCAGCACTGCGCGCATGCCGACGAGTTAATGATTATGCGTTGTGTGTCCGTTTTCTTGAAGCAATTAAAATCAAGTGCGGATCGAAAAAGAACCGTAAAGTGGTTTATGGTTACATCATTGACCAGGTCATCATCTGTCTTTCATTCAAAACTTTGTTTTCATACAGTATGCAGTCATCGTAAGTGAATACTGATGTTCACCCAATAAGTTGATGATGTGGTGGAGCAATTCCTCTGCAAAATGTTGCATTTTTTGCGATAATAATGTTCTCTATCATTGTTCAGATAAAACCTTTATTGGATGAGTTGGGAATCTCAACTCCAGAGGATCTTGGCTACGACGAGCCTGAATTGTTTATTCCACAACCTGACTATTGGTGGGAGAGGAAATGGTTTGTCAGATGCTTTGTGTGATTTCTTTTTCGATTGTTTATTCTTAGAACATGTTCTTCGTAAAGTTCCTTCTCGAGTTCATGTTATTTTCTGGTCCATTCCGTTAACAGATGCTCAGTCAGTTTATAAAGTTTAGGTACAAGGAGTATGGCTACGATAAGAAACCTGGATACGAATTTTGATCAGATTGAAGAAAGTGGATCGATGATTAGGGGCGATTGCGTCAAATGCTGCTGAATTTTGCTTCAAGACTGCTTGATTCGAATATCGCTTTGTCCGATTAATTTCACAAAGTTTATATGCGTTTTATTCTGATTTGTATTAGTGGCCATTTTTAGCTCATTTCCAGAACTGCTGAGTGCTTAGATTTCTTTCGTTTGGAATGCACCTGTACTCATATGTGTGTGCTAATTGGAGTGTTTCTGCATTAACTCTACCCGATGATAACTTTTAATTTGCAAAAGTGTGAATTATGTGATCTACAGTTACCTCATTCTCGCGCCTGTTATGTGGATTATTTATAGCGTATTATATTGATGGATGAATTCCGTTGCCTTTATTGTATTCAAAATAATGTTTTAATAGCCTGCCTCTTAATGAATAGATCATCGTTCCGGTATAGAACAATCGTAATGGATTTGAATCTTCACTTTCTGTTGTCAGATATGTTTTTTATATGAGGATGTATTGATAAACAGAAATGTATTGACGTCAAATGGAGTGCTCAGTCAACAGTTTCAAAGAAATTGCTCACTTTTTGCATAGTTTTTTGAAGTTGTGTTCTTGGAAATAAATCGATAGTGTGGAATTTTTCGACGACAACGTATCCTCTCAATTTTTCGTCAATTCGGTAAATAAGTCGTCTCTTACAATGTGCAGCAGGGTAATGCTGAGACATCACATGACTGAGATGTGTGCTGTAGAATGGTAGCACAAAAATGAATTCTTTTGTTCACATTACCAACAAATCCATTAATTCCGTAACAGTTCAACTCAACAAAAGGAACTTTAAAGATAATGATGAACGTTTGCATCAACGGTTCGCACTCAGAATCGAATCGGCACGGCATTGTTGAATTCAGGCTGAAATATTTTGTCATGATCTTCAGCATTAGCATTAACACCATAATCACAGTCAACACCTGATCATCACTACCGACATGAGTAGTAGCTAGTGATTGCGTTCAAAAGATAGCAATTGTCACTCAGCATCCCCAATAGATTGGGATATAAACTAATAATTCCGTTCTGGTGTTGTGCGTTTGTCAATAATGTATACATTGGTTTCTCTTTCAGCTGTCAATCGTCAGTCAGTAAACACTATTAGATATTGTTCGGATTGTCTGAGCCTTTGATAACTTCCAGTAGGCAAAACAAGTTCAAAAACGGATGCAATAGTTGTGAATAAGTGTTTCGGTGCTCACATTAAAATTGCGCATAGGATCGTTGATGAAGTCGAGACCATTTGCATTCATATTCTGCATGTAGAACGCCTAAATCACCGTTGCGTAATCAGTTAAATTTTATGCAAAATTAATACATTACAAGATTTTATGTAAAGAAATAGGCATCGATATTATCATTTCAAGCATTATCGCGTTTTGAATTATTTGAATGAGCATTCGTGAGAACCTCTGATAAGGCAAGTGAAAAGACGTTGGATGCTGTTCGAAGTGGTGCTGAATACAATATGTACTGTAAAACTTGAAATCTGAAGCAAACTTATGCTTATTCATCTATTTATGAGTATTCATATATTGGGTTATTCAATAATGCATGCTCAAGTCAAGTGCGGATATATTCATTTGAAGCTTACAGGTAGCGGTCCGTTGAAATGCATGTTGATTGGTACGTTTGGTTGAAATGGCATTTGCATTTGCTGATTGTAGAACGGCTGCGCTTGATTATGAAACTGAATCTGAAGCAAAATTCTGTGGTTTGTGTTGCATTCTAAAACGGAATTCATTGAACCGTAATGCAAAACACCGTAAAGTGTGATAGCATCCGATAAACCCACCGAAAAAGTCCATAAATGTTAATACCTGTTCATTATTTGTATATCCTTGATTGCCTAGAAATGCTGAACGTTGACTTGCAATGAACGGCTGTTGCGGTGTAGACTGGGCGTTCACAGTGAAATTCGATGGGAATTGCAATTGGTTGCAGTTATTATTTGCGCGATTCAAGTCGATAATACCGTTATTTGGTTGTTGTGATTGGAGTGTAGCAAAACCCGTAAAGGATGGTGGTGCATTGTTGTTGAATGGATAGTTCGTTGCGGTTTGATTTGGAAGATTTGGGTTGTTGAGTTGAAAGTTTGATGCGAACATGTTTTGAGGAATATTTGCGTTATCGACGAAGGCACCATGATTTTGGAGTTGTGATTGGAATTGCATGAAATTGTTTTGTAATTGCATCATTCTCTCGTATTTTTGTCGCTCTTCTAGTTGTTGCTGTTGCTGTTGTTGCTGCTGTTGTACAGCATTGTTTTGCATTTGTTGCTGATAGAGCTGATTTTGATTCAGTTGCAAATTCTTCAGTTGTTCGTTTATCAACTCCTGGTTTTGTGATAACTGCTGAGAATCCTTAAATTCGCTCTGTGAATCAATACCGACTTGTTTAGATGAACATCTTTCATAGATCAACGGATGAACATCTTTTTGCAATCGGACTGTTCAATGGTTTTAATGAAAATACTCTTCATTTAGGAATTAGTTCTCGATAACTGACAACGAGAGCAACCTATAAATCACGATAGATATACTTTAACCTTATTATGTCTTCACTGAATAGACCTAGTCGATAATTATAGGGAAAGTTCATCAATGCGAGTAACGGAAACGAAACTCTGAAATAATGCAAATTTCTACGAAACCTGAGGGTTGCTGTGAAAGAAATAATGGACACTGTTGTTGTCGCTGTCATAGTTTGAATCTGCGGCAAATTGCTGGGTTTCATAAATCCACTGAAATAAATTACGGCTTCTTGTTCGATGTTGAGTTTGGTACGCGATTTGAAATTGGATCGTGTGCACACTATTATAGGAACGAGGGAATTCTCGAACAGTCAAATGATTTGCAAATTCGAATCCAATTTTCGAATCACAAAAAAGCCTTGAAATTCTCGTGAGTGGTGTAAATGATTTACCTTCGACTTATGCCTATACGGATTGGATGATGAAAGTAGCTTGACTGGTTTGTTATCCTCTCGCTGAAAACATCTCGCGTGATACGAAAATTGTAACATCACTAAAGACATTCAACTGATCTCGGAGAAACTATTAGCTTTATTATATCGTAGAATTGGTGAGCAGAATGCGAAA